GGTAAATGAAGATTTGATGGCAGTAGTATGCATGTTACTCAGCTAGCACAGGAGGGTACAGCACAAATCCGGAATTCTGCAAAACTCCCCCCTCCTCCCGCCTTTTGTTGCGTACGGCAACGGTTTCTTGCACTATACGCACGCACACTGCGCACAAAGCCACCAAAAATTCACCACCCCTCATTTCTCCAGAGGCAACGTTGCCCGATTTTTTTGGCACGTCGCCAACTGCTTCTTGTCTCTGGCGATACGAAATAGTGTTGCCAGAGATGGCAGACGCCTCATTGGGGCGCAAAACACACCGGCCGAGCCGAGCCGAGCCGTGCCGAGCCGAGTTTTAGTAGTTGCCTAGAAATGAGGCAGCGAACTGCCGGCGAGATTCCCACTTCCTCAGCCTGATTCATTTCATCCTAATTTGAATAAAACGATGAACATATGCCACTGAGATGACACACGTTTGCATTGCCTAGTATGCTTAACAGCAAGCGTGCTCATCATATTGACAGGTCCTCGAATGTTGAATCCCAGACGTCCCAGAGTGTTGAATCGGTTTGCAGCACAGCCTGGATCCCAGAATGTTGGATCCCAAGATGTCAAACAGCAATTCGGTGTCCGAAACACAGCCTATGATTCTGCAGAGCCATGGCTCAAGCCACACTTGCAATCATTTTTTGCATCACGCTGCGACCCATACCAAGCTTCAACTTTATCAGGTGTTTTTGATTTAAGCAAGAAGCAAGCCCAATGCAGCAAATGTTGCAGCGGCATCAGAAATAATCCAGTGGCAGACTGAGGCAGAGACGGAGAAAGCGCGAAGGTGACGGAAAAATCATCACCGTACTACATGTGGTTTGTAAAACGCAAAATTGGAGTTGGCACTGGCGCAATCAGTGCAGCTGAGGCTCAATCGTTTTAATCACCTGATGGTCATTTTAGATGGCCATTCCAGTTCTTCCAGGAAATTGTGGAACGCCGCAAATCATTTGCTAGTGCATTAGCAGACTGTTTTCTTGAAGAGATTTGTACCTTTTGTCAAAAATAAGCTGTCCAGCTAGAGAGGAAAAATCAATCAAAGAGCGCAGGCAGGCAAAAATAGACGACTTGTATCCAGGTTACGATAAATAGAATTCGGGCAAACGAACTATCTCAAACTGAACAGCTGTTTGGTTTAAAATAAGCTTGTAATGTGAAATGAGGCTAACAAAAAATGGAAAGAGGGGGAAGGAGGAAGGAGAAAAATGTAGTGCAAGTTGTGGTCTGCTAGCTTGGCTGCAGCTCTGAAAGGCTTGTAATAAGATTGCATAAAAGCTTTTACATCCCAATTCATCATAAACAAAGACATGACTGGCCTACACGATTGTCATAACCACCTACTCCAGCAACGATTTATCATGCATTACACGATCCCTTTCCGTCCGGCCGCACCTTCCGCAGTATTTTCCATACGTGATCATTTTTTCTTCTGTTCAAATCAACCAAAGCTGTGATTCTGCCAAGCCGCAAAATAACCACAGTATACTAAAATACCAAAGAGCTGGAAAAATCAGTAACGGAAATCCCATGTGATAATGATATTACCGGGATGGCCCCAAATGTCGTGCGCAGTTATGTTAGGCCTTTCGAACTTGGACTGCAAATCTCCAGTGAGTATCCATCGCCTGTTCGATGTATTTGTACCTTGAAGATCGAGTTATTGTTTACTTCTCACTAATCTGCGAAGTCCACCGTCTGTCGGCAAGATAAGCAGCATATCTTGCCCATCGGAGTTTACTTCCTTGCCTGAACATAACGGCATGGTGCGCGCTGCTCGACTGTTGGAAAGTCGGACAACTTATATGGTAACGAAGGAACGTACATCTTTCGCTGCACGGAACTCCGTCACGGCCAGTTGCTCGCTCTTCTGCTTTCGTTAATTACAGCCTTTCGCGTCCCTACGCCATCGCTTTTACAGTATAATAATACTTGTATGACCCTCCCAATTCGTCACTTTGAGGGCATCAACGATGCTATGTCAGCATCTATTTTGCTTTTATCTCCGACTGGAGACTGTGCTGCGTAATTACTTTCTGTCCAGGATGAACGCAGCTGCCAAACTTTATCCAAGTTAACATTATCTATCTGCGATCTGCTTGAAAGCCCACATTCGCTCCACATTTGTCTTCATTTTCGATGCATTAATTTTCAGCCCTATTCCTCATTTCGTGCGTTAAGCTCCTGTAGCATCTTATTTAGCGAGGACCACTCGCAACGGAAAGTATGTCGTCCATGAAACGCAGGTGATTTAGTTGGTCGCCACTGGTCTCCGGACCACTTTCCAATTCAATTTCAGAAATAGCAACACGAAGCAGGTCGTGAAAAGTTTTGGAAATATGGGATTACTTGGCCTCACAACCCACGCGTTATGTATACGGATACGATGGAAAAAAGTATTGTCTGAACAGCCTGTTAGCTTCCTTAACAATTGTCCACACAGTCACCCACCAGTATCTCCATATAAAGGATCTCGCAGCACAGGATTCGTTCTTAAAAGCCTTCTCGTAATCGATGAATACAGGAGGACACAGAAGCTAGTGCTCCCTTGCGCACTTCAGCGGTTAATTAGAGCGAAAATGCGATCCGTTGTGCTGTAAATTCAGCTCGCTCGCTCGGTTCTCGAGGAATCTTGTTAACCGATTTGTGGTAATCTTCGTGAACAACTTGTAAGTATTGAAAAGGCGGTAGTTCATTAGATCTTCCTTGCTGTTCCTTCTGTGCAATAAAACAGTTTTCGACTCCTCCCATTTGCTTGGTATCGCTCTTTCGACTAAGTACCGACTCAGCTGAAAGATGACAGCTCTCCAAATTTCGTGTCTTTCGGAACTGATAGTACAGGAATATTCCTCACGGTTTTCCTTTTTTTTTGTACCAGCACAGCAAAAACAAACAAACAAACAATATCACCACCACTGTCCCCAATCGTATTACTTATTATTAATATTATCACTGGCGTTGTAGTAGAATCAGGGCCGCTATAATACTCTCATTTTTATGCGTTTTTGCCGTACAGAGTGCAGCAGACAGCAAAAACACATATTG